CTTTATTGCGTTCTGGTTCATTGATACTGGCAATTTGTCTCTAAATAGCCGCTATTTGTTAGTATTTAGTTTGATTTTATTTCATGGTTTTCCTGCGTTTGCTCTATAGAGCCGCTAGTTGTTTTCCTTGTTCATTTTCCTGTTCAACTACATGGATTAATAAGTTGAACGATTTCCTGATTTTCATAAGAAATAACACTAGACATAATTGTGACATGTTGAGCTTTCTTTAGACATAAAAAATCTCAGATACTATAATAATCCTACTGCTTTTTCAGGAAGATACACCTATAATTGAAAAAAAGTAGTCCTGTTCGAAAAGGTCACATCATAGAAGCTAAGACGAWTACTTTCGAACACGAAGTTTTCAGTATCGTTGCCCACTCACTTTCACATCGTACTTGTATTAACGCTAATAATGAAGGCGAAATTATCGCAATAAAATTATTTTTTTGGTCCGTCAAATTCTARAAAAGTGACTTCAGAAAAATATACCTACCGTTTGATATCAACCCCACAAGAATAGAGGCAAACAACGCGAATAAAGTTAGCATTGTGTCTTGAAGTGGCGCTGTAAGCTATGGAAAGCGTTTTCCTAACACAGTGTGTTCAAACCTACTTGGAGGGCAAGTCAAAATGACCCAAACTGACTGACGTTTCATGCAGGCGGGTCTATGATTYATGGAGCCAGCCAATCAGATCTCTGAGGAAAAATAAACAAACCACAAATAAAAGTCTTACGCTTCGACGATATTGTTTATTTTATATTAAATTCTGACGAGATGTACGATTTTCTTCCATTGTTTTATGGCAACCCAAACTTTCGTAAGTGGAACCAACTTACTTGAATGTCACTTGTATGAATTCCATTTTTGTATTAGCTCATTGTAAAATACCGATCCATTTTCTATATTAAGTATTATTTGCCTTTGTCAAGGTTGTGATGGGTTTCATTTTGACTCCACTGTCACTGTGTTCAGGGGCAAAATATTATATCTTGACATTTGTGATCCCTTTTAAATCCTCACTTCGATCCTACACCTGTGGTCCCCTATCTCAAGTTTTGTCAGCTTTTTTTTACATACATTTACTCATTAAAGAATATCAAAGTCTGTTTTACAGAATATGATTGACCTTGGATCGAACTTTTCAATAGTAAAACGCTTTGATATAAAGTGTCCTTTGAAAGTCAAGCAAATCAAAAGGAAGCCTATGAACTCCACACTATTTAAGTGATATTTATTACTATTTTCATGAAAAAACTG